TTATTAATACTATCTTTCCATCTTTCTCTGTTCAAACGGCCTGTATCACTATATATCCTTTCTCTATTCCTAAACTCTACACTTCACTAATCTGAATCTCCATATGTACCTAGTGTTACTCTCTCTCTCCGCCCTCCCATTATCTGTTTAGCTAGGTAGCTGTCTCCAATCATTTCCTATAAAGTTCAGTGCATCTTTTCTCTTTCTTCTCTATCTGCTCCAGCAAGACCATCCAGAGAATCTCCCTGTTGTTTTGCACAGATGTGAGCAATCTGGAAGGGAAATGTTGGCCTGGGTTTTTCTGAGGAATCAGGCCAGGATCAATTTTTAAGAAGGGTTTTCTTCTAGTTAGCCGAGGAGACACAATTTCCAAACAGGAATATGTATAAGAATCCCTTGATAGAAAGAAGGAGGGAAGGCATACACTGTATGATGTATTTTTTTTCAATTTCTTGTTTATTGCTGATTTAATATTGTTTTGAATATATTAAACTTCTAATTAAAAAAAAAGAGTGTCAGGCAGAAACGCCTTTGTGTGCCGGCGCATACTACCATTCTTTTTAAAATGCTTTCAAAGATTTCTTTGAAAAGTATATTAGTTTTTTGAGGGGAAGAGGCCTATTGTTTTTACAGAACTGTAAGAAGACATACTAGCCCAGGGGTGTCAAACTCAATTTCACTGAGGGCCGCATCAGCATTGTGGATGCCCTGGGGGGGGGGCGGCCAGAGTGGGTGTGACCTACTGGATGGGCATGGATGGAGTGGGTGTGGCCTACTGGGTGGGCATGGCCAGCTCTACATTATTCGCATCAAGGGTGCCTGTGGGGACCTGGGCAGGAGTGGGACAGATCTGAGGGTTTCTGACAAAAGGGGGTTGGGACCGGGGTAAGCGCCAAGGCATGGTCCATTTCTTCATTCCTCACAAAGGGTGACACCTCCCCAGCATGCACCCAGGGGCTGGGGCCGACACAGCAGGGGCTGGTTCCTCCTTGTTTCTAGACGGCCTTGTGCAGCTAAGACTGAATGGGTTTCAGCATAGATGGCCACCACAAAATTGTACATTGACACCCGGCCAGCCTGGGCCGGGGCCCAGGCAGTGGGGGCCGTTCCCTCACTGTTTCCAGGGTGGCTTCGCGGGCCACATGAAACCAGCTCGCGGGCCGCATCTGGCCCCCGGGCCTTGTGTTTGACATGTCTGATCTAACAGCAGGGTCGGCAGTGAATGAGTTGCGACATCCAACTGGAGGGAGAGGAGCTGAGGTGAAAGGCTTTAAAAGCATAGAGTATTGCTAGAAAGGATGTCGATGAGAGGAGAAGGGCAAGGGAACTTCCTCTTCCGGTTTATCCATGGAAGGATGGGGGGGGCAGTCATGCTCTTTCCAGGGTCAAAGCAGCAGCTGGAAGGTGAGTTGAGAGTTCGGAGGAGAAACCAGGAGCAAATAGAACTGCCTTGTTTCCTCCGAGGTGTAAAAGCAGAGAAGCAACTAGGCTGAAACATGTCGGCTGCTAATGTATAACGTTTCTTTTTCCAAATGTTTTTACACTTACGCTGTATGATTTAAAACTTCTGCCTCTAGTTTTCTGCTGGGAGATGGGAGAAACTAAAATGTAAAGGCCTGGAGCTAAACATACGAAGAAAGGTTGCAGGATTTGGGTATGGCCAGTCTAGAGAAAAGAATGATTGGGGAGGGACATGATATTAGTATTCCAATATTTGAGGGGCTGTCAGAAAGAGGAGGGGGTCAATTTATTTTCTAAAGCACCAGAAGGCAAGAGAAGAAACAATGGATGGAAAGTAATCAAGGAGAGAAGCAACCTGGAATTAAGGAAAAACTTCCTAACAGTGAGGAATAGAATAGAATAGAATAGAATAGAATAGAATAGAATAGAATAGAATAGAATAGAATAGAATAGAATAGAGCTGGAAGGGACCTTGGAGGTCTTCTAGTCCAGCCCCCTGCTCAAACAGGAGAACCTATAACATCTCAGACAAGTTACTAGCCTCTTTTTAAAAATCTCCAATGATGGAGCACCCACGATTTCTGGGGGCAAGCTATTCACTGTCAGAAAGTTTCTCCTTAGTTCCAGGTTGCTTCTCTCTTTAATCACTTTTTTCTGATATGGTGACCAAAATTGGCTGCGGTATTTCAGGTGTCTTACTAAGGTTTTATAAAGCGGCACTAATACCCCGTGTGATCTTGATTATATACCTCTGTTTATACAACCCAGGATTAGCTAATGCTGCACACTGCTGGCTCATGGTTAAGTGATTGTACACCAGGACTTCAAGATCCCTCTCATAGTTATTCTTTTTAAGCCAGGTTTTGCCCAATCTCTACTTGTACCTTTGATTTTTCCTGCCTAAATGTAAAACTTTGCTTTTCTCCACATTGAAACTCATTTTGTTGGATAGGGCCCATTGTTCAAGTTTGTCAAGATCTTTTTGGATCCTGAGTTTGTCTTCTGGGATGTTG